TTGTCCCCTGTATTTGCAGGTAAGAAACTGTGTAAACCGCTGAAATGAATTAGTTTTAATGTTGCTCGCTGTAAGTGTTTACGGAACATGACCGTCCTCAACAACTATATAAGGACCTAATATTAATAAGGACCCAATAAAAACCTTAAAAGGTCATGTTTAGGACCTGTTCGCGACCTTATAATAAGAACCTGTTACACACAAACATACGACTTATAAAACGTACGAATATTATGGTACCATGCCCTTCATATCCTTCATTAATCAGTAAAAAGCAGGGCCGATGTCCTTGACTTTGCGTTTAATTTACGATGAAAGGGTATAATGTAGGCATTTGGGAAATATGGTGTGTAGTGAAAAGTGAGAGCAACATTTCGGATGACGTGAGCAATTATTCGGGAAATCAATATTGGAAATTTGTAATTTGATAGAAACATAATCAAGTAAAAGAAGCTAAAGTTTAAAAAACAAAATTTATGAGCTTTGTAAAATTAACTGTTTTTGCCGATTTCGTTTCGCTCAAAAAGGTCTCTGCAGTGGTTAGTTATAGAAGCAGTATAAAAAGATTTAACTTGATCAATGAAAATTCATTGATATCCGCCGAGAAGAGTACAAAGATTTTAGAAATTGCTGTTTGTTCTATATATGATATACGGTGCTAACTATAAACTATTAATTAAACTATGGAATATTTCCTGACATGACGTCAGCAGGGGTCCACAAGAAAGCAAAAACTCGACAAAAGGAAGCCTAACAAGCGGGAAAGCTTTTGAAGAGTCGCGGAAACCAGAAATCGAATAATGTTCTAATTAATGTCAACATTAAACTCCTGATAAACATGTCGGCAAATCGTAGAGTACTCGAAATGGAAATAATTGTTTAAAAAATTGTTTCGGGGTTTTTTGTGCTCTTTTACTACAAGGCAAACTGCACGGTCTGTCAAACGTCAGAGTTATTATTTTTGCCAACAACTTTGGGCGATCAGAACTATGTTGTGTTCCCTATTCAGATTCTATTAATGTAAGATACTTCATAATCCGTTGAGTACCTGCATCAATTCAGTGCCTAGGGTCTCAGTGCGTAACGACATTAAGATATCTCCATCATTCAACAAGATTTGTTTGTGAGAGAGCGCGGGAGATACAAATTAATATTAGATCTAATTAATCATTAATATTAAAATTTCAACGCCGTTTCGCTAGAACAAAGTCCGTGGATGAGAATGCATGGTATGATATCAGTTGTTGTTGATCTGGACGGTGCCGGCGGTTCTAATGACCATTACAAAAACCTAGCAACATCACAATAATACACAATATCTAAAACAAAGTAATTGTTTCGGAACAAACACGCGACAAACAAACGACCTGGCGACCACCAGAGAACAATCAACAATTCTCAGGAATTGTCAATGTTTCATTCTAGTGGTGTGGTCTGTGAAGCTTCGTTTTGGTTTTTGATGAAATCTGTTGTTTCGTTGCGGCTGCCAATTCAAACTGTAACGAGTTTTTTAAAGATATAGTTTACTACCGCAAACTTAATAATAAGCGCCATTTGCCAAAGCAAACTTAGATAAGAGAAAACGGCAAACGAAGAAACACGCATTTAAAGTTAAAACATTAACAATCAAGAATATGTAATGCTATTATCAGCGATACGGAGCATTTAGGAACTGTGCTGTTAAGTAATACTCAAATAAAAGCAAACGGTCGAAAGGTTCAAAGCATTAACATTAAAAAGGAAGTATGTGCTATAAATGAGAAATATCTTACGTCATAATTATCTCATCTCAACCAGACCTAAGTGGAAAGGAAACAATTCTGACATTTGCCGCATCCTGTCTACCCAAAACAAAGCTGGAAATAGCTGCCAGGACAAACTCAGAAGAGAACTAGTGAGCGAGGACTATTCCGGAACAAAGGTTCAAAAGAACAACAACAAGCGAGGACTATTCCGGAACAAACGTTAAGAATAAAAAAAAAAAACAAGTGGGGACTATTCCGGAACAAACGTCCAAAAGAAGAAAAAGTGAGGACTACTCCAGAACAAACGTCCAAAAGAAGAACAACAAGCGAGGATTATTCCAGAACAAAAGAAAAACAACAATCATTATCAAGGACTACTCCAGAATAAACGTCCAAAGGAAGAACAACAATCGAGGACTACTCCAGAACAAACGTCCAAAAGACAAACAACAAGTGACTCAAGTGAGGGCTACTACAGAACAAACGTCCAAAAGAAGAACAACAAGTGAGGACTACTCCTTAACAAACGTCCAAAACAAGAAAAACAAGCGAGGACTATTCCAGAAGAACGGCTCGTGAGGAAATACCCGCGCTCACACCATTAGCCCACATTACACAGATGTAAATAACTGGGCTGAAAGGAAACAATCACACTTTTACTCTCCCAATTATTTCCAATCTTGTGCATAAAATGGAGGCAGGTTGATCGGGAGCAGGATATGTTAACCCTCAGAGCAGCTGTTAACATTGCTACTCACACGAGTGGGCTTATTATCACAGGCTATTATGCAGTTAGTTCCCAGCTGCACATATTATGCCTAATATATTGAAATGCTCCCATCTTCAGTCGAACGGAGATGAGATTTACAGGGAGTGAAATTGTCGGGAAGCTTGCGGAGTGAAATTGCTGGGAAGCTTGCGGAGTAATCCGATGATGATGGGCGCGCTTCCGGCGTGAGATGGGTCCAGTTTATTTGGAGTAATCTTAAGAGGAGTGGACAGACAGTGCGGTGAGACAAATAATTCGGTTATTTCATCCCGGTAATTTGTTTAACTGATTGTTATCGATTGTTGGATCAGTGGATGGATTGTTGAAGGTGGGGCGAAAAATTTGCGGAAATTTAGAACATTTTGTTATGATGTACAATAATTACTGTTGTAGTAGTATAGGTATCACAGTTTACGGCGTTCTGTGTTTTATAATATATGAGAATTTATATCTAGTGTTATTGAATTTCCGCAGTATTTTCTTATTTTCTGACACTGCTTGATATCATTTGTGGGATCAAGACAATGTGATTACAGAAGTGCAGCAGATCTGCTCGCAAACCAAAATGATTTAAAATTAATATATCACCTAATGATCATATCTTCAAATCTATTTTCGTCTCAATGGATTTACGACACATTATCTTTCTCAATTCTCTCCGCATACCTGATTAATTCATTCACATATTTGATAAATACCATGAATTATGGCCCCATCATTAGCTGATTTGTACTTAAATATGAGGAACGAAAAAAATCAATGGCACCTGATAATATCGTTACAACGAGCAAGTCACCGGTCGTTGATATGGTTACTATGGTTACCTCAATACCTGCTTATCTGGTTACTGGCTTCTTAAAGCCTAGACTGGTGTCAACATGGCTAACATATTGATATACGGGGAGTCACTCAGTCAATATGAATGATGTGCTGTAAACCGTAAACTGAGGTCGTTGGGGTTTAAAATATCTAGACTGAAGAATTATATCCGGATAACTTGGTCCTGCATTTCAAGGCCCATGCCACTCCTGGGAGGCCGACTTCCAGGCCCTCTCATTACTAGGGGGCCCAGGGAGATCAGATCATGTCACTAATTAGTGACGTATAATTAGTGATGTGATCCATCAGTAGGATTTAACTGACCTAGAAATGGGCTAGATACAGGGTAGAGTTCACATGTACATCATAGCGGTTCATTAAGAAGTAAACATGATCTTTAAGATTTGACCGCTCGACTCGTATATCACATAAGGGACGGGAGCTCTTGCTAAAGGGGGTTCTCGTATCTAGGGATGTGAGACGTATGTGCCAAAGGCATGCAACGGGAGAACTGTCAAGCTGTTCAAAAGAACATCCAGAAAAATTTTAAGAAGATTTATTTTGCAGATAAACTGTTTGCCAGAGCTGCGAGGCTTGTTGTGTTTCTTGCTTTTGTTCCAGTGGCTGATGTTGAGGAAGTATTCTATGAAATAACGTACTATATACAGACAAACTTTCCTAAGCTAATGTCTATACCTAGTTAATTATTTCGAGAAGACTTACCTTGGCTAAGAGGCGAAGGAATTGCCATACCCAACTCCACGATATCTGTTCTTTCTACTCAACATACTCTAGCAAGATCGAGTATTTGTTTACTGTAGCCTCAATGTTTGGGCACGATATTTAGGAAACTATAATTGATGTATTCAGTATTCAGTATTCAGTATTCAATATTCAGTATTTAATAATTCATAATATGTTTCAAAATGTCTTTTCGACAACAGACAGTTGGTGGATCACATCACTAATTATACGTCACATCACTAATTATACGTCATAGGATTTCAAAGGATTTCAAGGATTTCAAAATAAAATGATCATTACAATAAACATTGTGTCGGATCTAAATTTTAAAAAATAAAGATAAAATGAAAGTCAAAAACGAAAAAACCGAAACTTGTCCTGAAAAATGCACGGTTGACGGTTATAGTCTAAAGAGTTTAAAAACCGAGCTATTCTAAAAAGGAATGTTCATGACGCGAACAACCAGTCCTTTGTGTCCATGCCTAAGATCCACACATAAATTCCACACTAAATCATGTTGAGTCCGTGAGTCATGTTGTAGGTCCTTCCTTTTCTTTTCTGTCGCTCGGGGGGAACCTCCGCTTGTTCACTTTACTCAAGAATCTGGCAGTTTCTCTGATCAATAGGATATCCTTGAAGAGGTCGGCAAAGGTCTCCGCTCCAGAGGTGATCATGGTTCTCGCCTGCTGACCTATGTTTCGCCTCAGGTCGTCGTAGGGCGAACAATCCGTGAGAACGTGTTTCTCATCTTCAATGATCGGCTCAAACATTGGTAGTTCGGCCAGTATACCGACAGCTTCAAGGTCTGATGAAGAACAGTGCTTACAAATGCGACTGAGCGGATTTTCACGGTTGATGGCGTATCTACCGGTCTCGATGTTGAACTTATGAGCACTCATTCTGAACTGCGCCAGCCGCTTCACCTATTCTCCACTGAGCTGCAGGTTCAGGTATGCTTCAGCTGTAAATTCACTTTTGATAGTGTTGTAGAAACTGAGCTTCCGGTTGTTTTGCCGCTCCTCGTTCCAACAGTTAATAAAAGTACTACGTAGTGCTGTTTTGAATTGGTTGGGGTAGGTCAACCTGCGAGATGATACTGACTGAAGGCTTTGTCGGAGATCTTCTATACCTTTGTACCATGGCAGATTGAGTGTGCGTTGTTCTATGAACGCCTGTCTGGCTAGGCTTGTGCAACCAGCTCTGTCCATTTGCTCAAGTCGGTTGAAATACCCAAATACTTGCTTTGATGCCTTTATCACTAGGGGGCAGCGGCCTGTATCACCCCATACACTCGCATTTGAGGTTTTTCTGCCCACTCCTAAGGTCCACTTGAGGAATGAGAGATGAAGCTTTTCGAGAGGATCTCTTGCAGTCTCCTTCAGGAGAGATTTGGTGTTGATATTATCTTGATAGTTTCTGACAAAGAGAGTCTCTGGGAGCCACACCTGACATCCGTATGTCACAATCGGTACCACAAGCGCGTCGAATAGCTTGAATACGATTGTTCGCCTGAAGTGTCTTAAGTCAATACTGCTTTTTAGCGCGAAGTAGCTTCTGAGACCTTTTTGCTTCAGTTTGTTCTGTGCTACTGCTGAAGAACCGTTGAGGGTAAAGGTTATCCCGAGGTAGCAATATTCTCGAACTGATGTGATGTTGGTTTCGCCGAGTTGGAATGTCAGACTCTCTTTAAGGAGCCTCCCGGAACGGTTGAACACCGTCACTGCCGTTTTTCCGATGTTAACGGTTAGTCCCCATTCGATACAGTAACTGTGTAAAACGTTTAAAAGTTTCTGTAGTCCAGTATGATCAAGGGCAAGAAGTATAAGATCATCAGCCCAGAGGAGATGAGTGATATTAACATTATTCAGTTCAGGGACGTTGACTTCCTCAGCGTTATCCAGATCTAGGGAGAGTTGGTGGATGAAACACTTGAACAGCTCAGGAGACATCGGGTGACCTTGCTCAGTCCCACAGTGAATGTCGATTGTCTCTGACAATCTGTTCAACAGTTTGATTTTTGCTGAGGAATGTGAATACATCTGCTCGATACATTGAAAGTATCGACCTCTTACTCCTAGCTCCCAGAGTTTATAGAACATGGCATCTCGGCACACAGAGTCGAACGCCTTCGCGTAGTCGACGAAGCATCCATATAGCCTCTTTTTCCGTTGCGTTCCATACTTTTGGATGCAAGTTGAGAGTGTTAGTATGTGGTCACTCGTCTGTGCTTTTTTACAGAACCCTAGCTGGTTTATGGTGTCTGGACAGTTCAGTGACCGGAATGTGAGTAGGCGCTGTAATAAGATAGTTGAAAACAGCTTCCCAACATTGCTCGCCACGGCTATCGCCCGGTAGTTGTTCGGATCGTATACACTCCCCTTTTTGTGCAAGGGGGTAACTAGAGAGGTCGTCCATGGATACTCCCCGAGTTTCAAACAGTGGTTGAACAGGTTAAGAACAGCTGACAGCATTGGTTCATCTGACGAAATGAGGAACTCATTCAGGATTTTATCTTCGGCGATGGCTTTCCCTTTCTTAAGGCCTTTGATGGCGGTCCGAAGTTCCTCTATTTCGATATCTTTGTCCAGAACTTCCACGAGTTCATGAACACGAAGTTCAGTCTTTCTGCGTTCCGTGAAGTCAGCAGTTTCTTCATTCGGGATGGAAGGTTTTGAGTACAGCTCTTTGAAGAATTTACAGAAGTTCATCATATCGAAAACGTCCAGCTTTGAGCCATTTGAGGAGAAGCTTTTAAGTTTCTTAAAGCGACTCCAGTTTATGTCGCACCCCTCGTCAACATCACGACAAAGAGATTCCACGAACTTGGCCTTCTTCTGTCTCACGAGCTTTCGATATTCGCGGCGTTTGTTGTAGTAGCTGTCTCTCAGTTCTTTGTCAAGAGGACTTTTACCGTATGTTTTAGCTAATCGATTTAGTTCACGTTTTTCGATGATGCAGGCAATATCAAACCATGGAGACTTCGGTTTTGCCCTTTTGTATCCCCGAGTTTTCCTATTGAGGGGTTTTTGTTTATGTTTTCTAGGTCTTGGTAGGGCCTGATCAGCCATATCACGATAAATGCCGACGATGTTTTTATTGAGCTTAATGACATCCTCCTTTTTTACGCAAACAGCTTCAACCAGTTCCGCGATTCTGCTTGCAAACTGGGGTTCTTTTTGGATATCTAGGAACTGCTGTTTATTCTCTGAAGCATTCTCGTCTCATTTGTGTTTTATTGGGGCTGGCTGGAGTGATGATAGAATTTCGTCCGGATCAATTATATAATTATGACTCAGTTTCAGTGTGCATAAGCATGGGCGGTGGTCTGAGAATTTCGTAAGATCTAAGACCTTAAGACTTTGCACCGATTCCCTTAGCATGGGGGATGCTGTTACGTAGTCTACAACGCTGTGTCCATTGTAATTAATTGAGGTGGGTTCCCCAAAGATGTCTCCTAGTGTATCACCATTAAGAATGCTAAGGTTCAGACTGGATATGAAGTCCAGAAAAAGTTTTCCCCTTGGGTTTATCACAGGGTCTTTGCTTGATCTTGTTGATTTTTCTGGAAAGCTTGCGATTGTTGAGAAAGCCTCGATGTCAGCTGGAGGTTCATCATCAAAGTTAAAGTTGAGGTCCCCTGTTCTTGCATTGAAGTCTCCTAGAACCAGTTTCTCGCCGAGATCTGTGTTTTCAGCAACAAAGTCAATAATGGATTCGAGTGTTGACTGGGTTGGTCCACCATTGCTGTTTTTCAGTCTCTTTTTGTAGGATGACTGCTCTGGGGAGTCGTATACGTTGATTATTGTGAACTTAAGAGTATCATCAGTGGCGGGGCAAAAAGTCACCGCTTGAATATCTGGATGGGAGCTTTTTACGGGCTTGAAGTCTCCTGACAGGGATCGATGGACCCCCACACATAGCCCACCGGAGCGCGAGCCGGTTCTAAGGCTATTGTAGCATTTGAAGTTTGGAAGGTGGAACTCAGCCTTTGTTTCCTGCAGGCAGAATATGTTACACCCAATGAGAAGTTTGACGAAGTCCTCATCATCGGCCTTGGGGCCCTCTTTGGAGGACATTGCGTCATGAATGTTCCACGACAAGATCCTCATAAGGTCTTGTTGGTGGCTCATAGTCCTATCAGATATAGAATTAATCATTGCGCTTCCTTTTCGGTTTGTATCCAGTTTCGTCCTCGTAATTCCCGTGACTGGTCTCCATGTCTACAGTTCTATAAAGAGAATCACGAAACTTCAGCCAGGTTTTCCGTTGGCCTCTTTCTGAGAGGAACAGTTCTACGCCATTTTTTCCTGTCCCTTTGTTTATGAATCCACCGAGATTACGATTACACGATGTAAAGACACGGTTTCGGTATTTTTGTCCTGATCTGAGGTTGCTCACAAAAGTTGACAGCAAGCCATTAAAGGATTCAATCTCCTCGGTCAGACGAGGGTAGCCAGGGATTGGGATGATCGCTGATAGGCAGAGTTTAGCCGTTGTCGACTCGAGGATGTTGTAGACCATCTGTTTATATTTACCGAAAAGATCGTCAGCAGAAAGTTTGAGCCAGAATAGGTCTTGAAATCCTGTATGCACGAACACGACATCTGGTTTTGTGTTTCGCACTTTTGATACGAGGCCTCCTTTCGAAATGATATCGTCGACCGAGAAGGCTCGATATGTGCTGATCTCAAAACGACTGCTAAATTTGGTCCCGTCAAATTTGTTGAAAAAATCATCGTGAACAAGGAGACATTTTCGGTTCGACCGCTGGGTCGGATGTGATCTTCCTCTTGGTGTTTCTGGGCTGGTCTGGGCATTCTTCAGTCTTCCACTGCATTCTAATGTTCATAACACATTATAAGCGTCATTTCCTCTTTTTATTAACATGTCCGAAGAATTTAATTTTATATGGTATTTTGATATTAATTGCTTTTTGAGCTGGCATGATATGTTTTGACGTTCTAACACGAATATAATTTAGTCTGGCTCGAATTATAGGCGTGAGAACTAATAAAGTCCATACTTGGTAATTGGTTGCTACTTATCAGCTTGCAGAACTGCACCTTTTGCTCTTTCGGTATTTTAATCATTAACTTTACCCTTGCCTAATGATTTTATACAACAGAATAAAATGGCAACCAAATTCGTGATTTAACGGTGTGTTATATTTACGCTTTATAATTTGAACATTTCGTTTAATTTTAATAGGTAAAAACTTGCTTTGTGTGCATAACTGGTGCGGTACGTACATTAGCTTTTGAAGAAATAAATGTGTATCGATCGCGTGACCTTTGTATAAATGTGCTGTCATGACATGTTTGATCATACTAAATCGAAATAACCTAGATTCAAAGTGATTTATTTAATTTCAATTTAAATTGTTGGCACTTGGCACTGAGTCTAACTTTACTGTTTTATTAAAAATTTCTTTGAAAGAATCATCAGCAGTTGGAATTGTAGTACGTTTTTTTAATAAAGTAGATCAAAGCAGTTGGAATTTGTGTTACCTGGACATTTGGACAATTAGATTACCAGTCTGTAGGACTAGGACTATATATTTATATATATTTATATATGGACACGTTCATTTGAGTTTGAGGATATTGGTAAATATAAGTGACCCTATTAAAAGGCACAGTGTAGTTGACTTTGTCACACTATGAAATTACACAAACCCTTGATGGTTAGGATAATCGTCTCATCCTCTAGGCTAACTTTGTCACATAACGATATCTTAATCAGGTGATAAGATATCGCTTAAATACGGCCGGCACGGAAATGGTTACATTGTCACACTATAAACATGTGACAGAGTAAATATGGACCCCTTGCTGCCGTTTTTGACCAAAATTTTGAGTGTCCAGTTGATTGGATGGGTACATATGACCATTACCTACATATTTTACGACTTTTTTCGTTAGTTGGTGCACTATGGTTTACTCTGTCACACATTTAAGAAAATATGTGAACAATGTTTAGGGAACCCTGATAAGCAATGCTGAGTAGTGTAGGTTTATTTAATGGCCAGGAAGTGCTAGGAATTGTTATTATATCATATAGTCGCAAGGAATTAAATTACAAAAGGCACAGACAAGTTTACTTTGTCACATAATCTTGATGATATCTGAACATGTGTGAAATTGAACAAATAATGATATACCTGCTTAAACCCTTTGTATTACGTACTATGGATCAAACAACACTGCTAGTACCATGCACCAGTCACATAAATCATTATCGGGTGGTAATATGTTAACAGTGTCACAATTAAACTACCGCAACATGGTCAAAAATAGGGTAATTTCGTCACACAAAACTATTATAACTCTGTCAGCTTCTTGCTGGCAAAATAACTAGTTTATCGAAATTTTGTTGATGATAAAGTTACATAATAGTATTCTAATAGAGGTATACTTCTTCAAAATAGGGGCAAGACATGTTTACTTTGTCACATCAGTTATTATAAGAGTTAGGTAATCGTCATCAGATTAACCAATCTTTTTCGAGGTATGGATCGATTAATATAGGCAATAAAGCATCCTAATTCCTGTGGCAATTTTAACACACTATCTTGATATTGTTGGGGCAGGAAAAGTTAATTTTGTCACATTTTCAGTGTCTTTGACAAATTAATCTAAAATTTTTAAACTTGGGCTCTGATGTTCTGGACAATATTCTACCAATCGTGAAATGTTGAATTCTAATAGAGTTATAGATCTTCAAAATAGGGGCAAGACATGTTTACTTTGTCACATCAGTTATTATTAGAGTTAGGTAATCGTCACCACATTAAAATATATTTTTTTGTAGTTTTGATTGATTTATTTAGGTAATAAAGCAGCCTATGCTAATTTTTACACACTATCTTGAAATTGTTGGGGCAGGAAAAGTTAATTTTGTCACATTTTTAGTGACTTAGACAAATTTAACCTGAAATTGTTAAACTTGAGCTCTGATGTTCTGGACAATATTCTACCAATCGTTTCTGAAAGAATGCTGAATTCTAATAGAGTTATAGATCTTCAAAATAGGAGCAAGACATGTTTACTTTGTCACATCAGTTATTATTACAGTTATGTAATCGTCATCACATTAACATATATTTTTTTGTAGTTTGGATTGATTTATTTAGGTAATAAGGCAGCCTATGCTAATTTTTACACACTATTTTGAAATTCTTTTGGGCAGGAAAAGTTAATTTTGTCACATTTTTAGTGACTTTGACAAATTTAACCTAAAATTGTTAAACTTGAGCTCTGATGTTCTGGACAATAATCTACCAATTTTTTCTGAAAGAATGTTGAATTCTAATAGAGTTATAGAATATATAGATCTTCAAAATAGGGGCAAGACATGTTTACTTTGTCACATCAGTTATTATAAGAGTTATTATAAGAGACTATTTCATTATGTAATCATTGTTTTTAACCTATTTACGATTTCGTATAATTTTTTGTGACAATGTAAACATCAACTGATCTTAACTTGCATCAACTACATTGTCATCATGTAAAGTTTTCCCGCCTTTCAAACCAAAATCAGATATAAATAATTCGCCCAAAATTTTAAATTCCATATATTGTGACAGAATTAACCTCATTTCCCAATAACCAAGTGCCTGTATTAGCTAACTATTCAAATATATATATATACATATATTTTAGGGCTATGATTGGTACTCCGTACTTGGTAGATCAACCATCAAATAATGAGTAAAAAGGTTTTTGAGGACACCTCACAGTAGAATAGAGGTATGGTATTCTGAGTGTGACAAAGTTACCTGAATATTGCCTTGTAACCGTTCGATCCGTGCCCTTTAACCAATGTTGTATCATAATTGTTAGATTGACCTAATCTACTATGTTTCAGACCAAGGAATGATAATTAGACAACTGCAGTTAACTAAGTCACACAAAATGTGACATTTGAAACATTATAGTGCCTAACAACAATAGATTTTCTTTCTGAGCAGTGCATATGGGAGTATGGGTTACGTGGCTAATGTTCAGAACTTCTAAACGGGCTAGGTTAATAGATGTCAAAATTAAGCCACTATCGTCAAAAACGCTATTATTTTTGTTTACCAATATCCTCAAACTCAAATGAACGTGTCCATATACAAATCACCTTAATAATCTCAAGAAATCTGTTTGTATGTGTGTATGTGTGTATGTGTGTATGTGTGTATGTGTGTATGTGTGTATGTGTGTATGTGTGTATGTGTGTATGTGTGTATGTGTGTATGTGTGTATGTGTGTATGTGTGTATGTGTGTATGTGTGTATGTGTGTATGTGTGTATGTGTGTATGTGTGTATGTGTGTATGTGTGTATGTGTGTATGTGTGTATGTGTGTATGTGTGTATGTGTGTATGTGTGTATGTGTGTATGTGTGTATGTGTGTATGTGTGTATGTGTGTATGTGTGTATGTGTGTATGTGTGTATGTGTGTATGTGTGTATGTGTGTATGTGTGTATGTGTGTATGTGTGTATGTGTGTATGTGTGTATGTGTGTATGTGTGTATGTGTGTATGTGTGTATGTGTGTATGTGTGTATGTGTGTATGTGTGTATGTGTGTATGTGTGTATGTGTGTATGTGTGTATGTGTGTATGTGTGTATGTGTGTATGTGTGTATGTGTGTATGTGTGTATGTGTGTATGTGTGTATGTGTGTATGTGTGTATGTGTGTATGTGTGTATGTGTGTATGTGTGTATGTGTGTATGTGTGTATGTGTGTATGTGTGTATGTGTGTATGTGTGTATGTGTGTATGTGTGT